AGCCACTTATGCGCATGCTAATGACCGTTTATCAGAAATCCACATCATCTGAAAGCGCACATTATTGCAAATATCATCGGGCACGAATTACGCCTGATAGGTGAACTCACCTCGTCCCGTTAGAAAGCATTTACAGAGCGTTTCCTTTGCGCTAATGCCCTCGGATCTTAGCGTATTTGCTTTCTTTTTGAGTTTGTGAAGTGCTCAGATTGTGTTTGGGCTGCGGTGTCAGCTGAAGTGGGATTGAATTTGAGCTGTTTTTCTGGATTTTGGCTCTGTAGTTTTAACCTTTTGCTGTTTGTGTGCTGTCTTTCTGTGTTATGATGTTGCTTTTCAGGGCTTTTTGTTGCTTAATGCACAGACAGATGACATTTTCTTGACATATCGATCGGTGGAAAGGGCATGACAAACACAAGGGCAAACGCCGGCTTCTTCTTCTTCTGCTTCATCTGTCAGAAACTGGATCTTGTGCAAATTTGTGCTGGATGAAATGTAATATTTGCACTGATGCTCTCACCGATCAAACAACAGCAGACGCTAATAAAAGCACAGTGACAGACTTTGAGCTGTGTTTGGGAGGATAGCATGAAAATAGCACGGTTGATTAATGGGAAATGGTTTGCATTTGTAATGAACGAATAACTACTTGTTAAATATGTGACTAAACCGAAAAATAAATGAATGAATGAAAGATTTCTAAATTTACTTTGACTTGCATTTGACTTGAGGCTATGCAAGAAAAGGATACAGGTAATTGACTAGCCTGCCTGTAGTCCCGACCTGTCCCCAAAAGAATATGTGTGACATGTTTTGAAACTCGTGCTGTTGCCCACCTTAAGACTTGTTTAGAGGATGAATAAGACACAATTACACCTGAAACGCTTCATCACTTGGTATTTTCAATCCCTAAACATCTTTTAAGTGTTGTGAAAAGGAACGGCAACATTACAATGTGGTAAATGCTTGATACCGATACAACTTTTTTTGGAATGTGATCCAAGAACCAAAACTGGAATACATGTTTATTTAAAAACAAACAATAAAAATCACGAGGTTTGTTGTATCGTCTGCAATTCTTGCAAAAAAAGTCTTAAGGTGGGCAACAGTACAGAGTCTTTGTTAGCGCATTTTGCACTTTTGCACACATTCTTTATTAGAGACTGGTCGGGACTGCAGGCAGGCCAGTCGAGTGCATAAAGTGTCAAATGTATAAAAAGGAGAAAAATCAAAAGAAAACCCTCCCCAAAATAGCATGTACCATACAAATAACAACACAAAATATTTTATATTAATGCTGAAATATACTAGTATTAATCAGCTCGACATTTTAATTCATAAACATATTAAATTTGCATTTGTTTGTTTTTGTAAATAATGATATTGCACAAATATTCTAAATTATAATATTATTAATATTATTTTATTGTTATTGTTATTATAATTATTATTATTATTAATAATATTATTTTATTGTTATTATTATTGTTGTTATTATTATTATTATTATTATTATTACTTTATTGTAATTATTATTATTAGTAATATTATTGTTATTATTATTGTTGTTGTTATTATTATTTTATTAATTTTATTATTATTGTTGTTGTTATTGTTATAACTTTATTGTTGTTATTATTATTATTTTATTGTTGTTATTATTTTTTTCATTATTATTATTATTTTATTGTTGTTTTGTTGTTGTTATTATTATTATTATTATTATTGTGATTATTATTATTGTTGTTGTTGTTTTTATTGTTATTATTTTATTGTTATTATTAATATATTTATTATTATTATTATTATTATTATTATTATTATTATTATTATTATTATTATTATTGATATTATTATTATTATTGATATTGATATTATTATTATTTTATTGTTAATATAATTATATTTATTATTATAATTTTTAAAAAAACTGATACAATGAGACTTTATGCTCTATAATAGGCAGGAAATAATGCCACATTATAATTCGATTTCATTGGTATGTACATAATGTGTGTCCTTTTAGTATGCATTGTGTGTTCTGCGATTGTGAGATTAAGCGTCTCTTTTCTAGGTGTCAGAGGTCAACACCTCGGTCAATATCATGCACATAAATGCTCCATCCATCAGGTCATTGATTCTGCTGTCCGTCAATGTATCCACCGCTCTGTCCATTTCTACATCCATATGTGACTTTTGTGTTTCAGTTCACACGTTTAGCTATTAAACAGATTTACTGTCAGATTTACAGGCTCTTCAGACTCACTCGCATTGCCAGACAACAAGCTAATTACAGTATTTAAGTGTCCACAGAAGTGGCTGGTAATATTCTGCTTATTATTGTCAGGGTTGTGTTGGTAGGGAAGGAGGGAGGATGCAACTAAAATGGGTGTTTATCTAACAGATCAAAAACAGAAGACAACAAAACTACCTCAGGGTGGAAACAAAACATTAACTATGGAACTCTTTAGAGTGAGCTGGACTGGCAGAGTAATCAGTAAACAGGCGAAGGTTAAACAAACTAAACATAAAAGAATCAAGAGTCAAAACATGCCTAGACAATCCAGGAAATGCTTAGAAATGTTCACTACAGGGAAACAAGACTCGGCATTGATAACAGAAACCGAGACCTCATGCTCAAAACAAAGAAAAAGACAGACAAAGACAGAAGAGATGAGTGCATGGCCCAAGTATACTCAGGTTAAGCACTACATCCAAGACTGTACTGGACAGAACTAGAGTCTGGACTACTCCACCAAATCAGGAGTAAACAAGACAACACTAGATGTCCCCAAGGGGAACACCCAACAAGATACATGACTCAGGACTGGCAAGAAACAAAACAAAACAGGCAATACAACAAGACAGAATAGTGAACGGACAAGTAACCAGGGAGGGAGGGAGAGGAAAACCAGGGCGGGTGCGTGTTGGTTCAAGGTCTTAGCAGGAGACCATGGTGAAGCTTGAGGGACAGATAATGGAATGTCTGGTTGGTCTAGGGTCCTAGTAAGAGCAAAAGGTGGAGGTGGAGGGACAGTCCAAGGAGTCTCTGATGAGTCTAGGGTCTTAGCAGGAGGACAGGGTGGAGCTCGAGGCACAGTCTACATAGGGTCTGGTGGGCCTAGGGTTCTAGCAGAAGGAAGGCCATGGTGGAGCTTGAGAGACAGTGTAGGTAGGGTCCGGTGGGTCTTGGGTCATAGCAGGAGGCCATGGTGGAGCTTGAGGGACAGTCTAGGAAGGGTCCAGTGAGTCTAGGGTCCCAGCAGGAGGCCATAGTGGAGCATGAGGGACAGTCTAGGGAGGACTCGGTGAGTCTAGAGTCCTAGCAGGAGGCCATAGTGGAGCTTGAGGGACAGTCTAGAACAGGGATCACCAAACTGGTGGTCCGGTGTCCTGCAGATTTTAGCTACAACCCTAATCAAACACACCTAAACAAGCTAGTCAAGGTCTTACTAGGTATACTTGAAACACCCAGGCAGGTGTGTTGAGGCAAGTTGCAGTTAAACCCTGCAGGGCACCGGACCTCCAGGAATGAGATTGGTGACCCCTGGTCTAGAGAATGTCCAATAAGTCTAGAGTCCTAGCGGGAGAAAAGGGTAGAGGTGGAGGGACAGTCCAAGGATACTCTTATGGGTCTAGGGTCCTAGCAGGGGGACAGGGTGGAGCTTTAGCCACAGTCTAGGTACGGTACCGTGGGTCTAGGGTCCTAGCAGGAGGCCATGGTATGGCTTGAGGGACAGTCTAGGAAGGGTCTGGTGGGTCTAGGGTCCTAGCAGGAGGAAAGGGTGGAGGCGGAGGGACAGTCCAAGGAGACTCTGATGGGTCTAGGGTCCTAGCAGGAGGACAGGGTGGAGCTGGAGTGGCAGTCCAGCGTGGGTCCGGTCGGTCTAAAATTCTAGCAGGAGGCCAGATCAGGGACGGTGTGGTGGGTCAGGGGCCTCAGCTGATGGCCAGGGTGCATCTGACAGCAATTGTCTCACAGCAATTCTAAACTTTTTGATTTAGTGGCTAATTTGTATGATTTTGTATGATCTCATTCATACAATTTGCTCATCCCCCAATGACTGAACTTGTACAAATGTGTACAAATTAGCCACTAAACAGACAAACCATAAAGTTTTCTTGTGAGATCCGGTTTTCTGAAGAGACAGTCCAGCGCGGAATCAGAGGGATCCAAGGAGCATCAGATGGGGCAAACAGGGCAGGGGTCTTGATGGGGACAGGAAGGGCTGGAGGCCTGTGGGGAGCCAGCAGGGCCAGCAAGGTGAAGAGATTAGGCAGCGTAGACAGGACAATTAGCTGGAATGAGGCCAGCAGGGCAGGGTGCTTGAGGGATACAGACAGCCCAGCATTGGCACTATTATTTATAATGACTAGTCTTATGAACGCCGCTCTAAGTCAAGCATTACCCAATTTTTAAACTGTACATTTATATTTAATAGTGATTGTCCATGTTGTGAGTGTTACAAGAACCACCATTTTTTCACTAGGATAAAAGCATCGAAAGCAGCAGCACTGAAGTATTTGATGAGCACGCAGCCTCTGGATATGCAGATGTGCTTGAGCCGTCCTCCTCCAGCCGGTGCGCGTGTGATTTAAGGCCGTTCCTCATGCTACATTAGAGGGCGTCTCTTCTCTAATAGCGTCCAGCTCCCCGAGTGCCGATCCCTCATGTCCATGTGTCAGCTGTGAGGCTGCGAGTGCTTTTGACTCATTGACTCCAACCCTGTTTATCAGCTTAAAACCATCCATCGCGCTCGCTCGTTAGTCCTAATGAAGCACTAAAACGCGGCTGACGGATGGCCACGTTCCTCGTTTGTCTGCAGAAAGAGTCCAGGAGAGGGTGAAAGTGACACCAAATGGAGAAGAATAGTCCCGGGCTCCGTCCTCATCATCGCTCATGTCTTTGTTGGCTTGTTTGATTTTTTTTTTTTGTTGTTCAATCCGATTGTGTTGAATTTGATTTTCATCCCTCACCCTCCATCCCTCCCTCTCTCCCAAAGGTTCCTTATATCAGAAGTCCTCCGAGCACACAGACAAGAGCAATGCTCTGCCACATCCATGTGAGTCCCTCATTTCATTGCTTTCTGTTTGCATGCGTCTCCAATCCTTCCTTATTTCCTCCTTTTTTCTTTTCTCAACTCATGCCATCCCTTTTTTACTCTCAGGAGTCTTTAAAGGGATAGTTCACCCAAATATGACAATTGACTTACTACTTACTGGCTCTCTAGTGCTTAAACATTTTTTAAAAAGAAACTCTAAGGTTTGAAAGTAGAGTAGTAGAAAGTAGAAGTAAAGACTAAAGAAATTATGACATTCATTTTTGGGTGAATAATCCATTTAAATGCTAAAAAGAATACATAAACTAATCAAAGGTGCTATCATCTTTCAATCTACACATGAAAAATGCCATACTAGTTTTACTATAGTGTATTTGAACCATAGTAAAGTGTATTTTACTGTATTTATATATAATAGTATTTACAACACTTTATAATATTATCTGTAGTGAACTGATGAACCATAATAAATGCTGTAATGTACTTTAGTTTTTACTTTAATAAATGGTGGTGTATTAAAGTATAATATAGTTGTAGAAAACTACAGTGTTGGGTCATTTGTTTATATAGCTGTTGTTGTTGTGTTGCCATAGCAACTATAGAATCACTGTAACAGACTAATTACTGCAGTTCTTAGGTTACCATAGCAACTATAGAATCACCACAACAGATTAATCACTGTAGTTGTTGTGTTGCCATAGCGACTATAGAATCACTACAACAGATTAATCATTGTAGTTGTTGTGTTGCCATAGCGACTATAGAATCACCACAACAGATTAATCATTGTAGTTGTTGTGTTGCCATAGCGATTATAGAATCACCACAATAGATTACTGTAATTGTTGTTGCTATAGCAACTATAGAATCACCACAATAGGTTAATCACTGTAGTTGTTGTGTTGCCATAGCGACTATAGAATCACCACAACAGATTAATCACTGTAGTTGTTGTGTTGCCATAGCGACTATAGAATCACCACAACAGATTAATCACTGTAGTTGTTGTGTTGCCATAGCGACTATAGAATCACCACAATAGATTACTGTAATTGTTGTTGCCATAGCAACTATAGAATCACCACAATAGGTTAATTACTTTAATTGTTTGTTGCCATAGCAACTATAAAATCACCACAACAGGTTAATTGCTTTAATTGTTTGTTGCCATAGCAACTATAGAATCGCCACAAAAGGTTAATTACTTGAACTGTTGTGTTGCTATAGCAACTATAGAATCACCACAACAGATTAATTCATGTACGTTACTATAGTATGGTTTAAAAGCACTATAGTATTACTGCAGTATTTTAAAAAAAAATTTTCTGGTGGTTTATAACTTTTTTGCTGCCTTAAGTACAGGTGACCATCTAAACCAGCTTAGACCAGAAAACAACCGAAGCAGACTTTTATTATGTGACCAAACCGCATAGCTTGATCTCTTTGACACTGAGAGGTCGAGTAAACCAGCTTAGATCAACTTTAAAATGTCTGTTAGCTGTTTGTTTGGCTAGTTTCTGGGTTTATATGCCTCTTGTGTTTTTAAGTTTAGTTTTTGTGTGTTAATCCTGGACCAATTTTGACCAGCTAAAGACCTCAACATATCTAGTCAAGCAATTATGAGTGTTGTTTTTGTGTGTATAAGTGTGTGTAGGAGTGTTTGTGTGTGCACATGTGTGTTTGTGTATCTGCTTGTGTTTGAGTGTGTGTGTGCGCGTATGTAACTGCTGTGTGTGTGTAACTGCTTGTGTGTGTGTGTGTGTGTGTGTGTGTGTGTGTGTGTGTGTGTGTGTGTGCGCGCGTGTGTGTGCGCGTGTGTGTGTGTGTGTGTGTGCACGCGTATGTAACTGCTGTATGTGTGTGTAACTGCTTGTGTGTGTGTGTGTGTGTGTGTGTCCAGCTCAGTAATGCGTTTCATTTGCAGGCTGTTTTCCTGCTCTGCTCTTGTACCTGCGCTCGCCGGTGTTCAAAGAAACGTATTAATCTGAGCGCTACATTTTAATGCTGACCCCCGGTGAGTGTGTGTGTGCTTTATCATCAAAGGCCGAGCGCGGGCCGTCCGGACGGCAGACTCACGCGGGGGAGATGATATCGCTGGACTTTCATCACTGCGTCTGCATCCGCTCCAGTATCAGCCCTCCTGCAGAAGCTCATCATTCACAGCTAAACATCAGCCAGAGAATGAGGGAGCCTTTCACATGTGCGGGTTTCTCAGCAGCAGAAGTGGATGACTTGGTCAACTTAGAGCTCAGTGAATAGGAGAATACAACTAATTATTATTCTACAATCCTATCAGCTGAAATATTTAGAGAGAAAATCCAGAATGGTGTTATCAAGACTTTCAGAAAGAGCAAATCAATA